AGACATGAGAACAACGTTTGATGGATTGCAAAATTTAATATTATTGAACATGCTCAAGGAACAAAATCCCTAATCCTTCTAACAAGGGAAATAGCTATCTTGTCACTTAAAATGAGACTTATTACGTTGATTACTTCCCTTTAGTCTCGAAATAACGCGGCCGCACAATTTGTATAAATCGGACGGGGACAGACATAATAATAATATAAAGAACGCCACTCCCTACGCAGTTCCCCGGTCTCAAGATGATCTCAAGATGAGCTAACGATCAGATCCGTGAGCGATCTCATTTGTGCCCACACACTACACAGACGAACAGATTATCAAAATGGTCGTTTACAATAGCAGTGGATGTGGTGCACTCACACATACGCACAAGACAGGACATTAGAAAAATACATCATGATGTCTCACGTGCTGAAACAACCCGCTCCGAAAACAGTCTCTCTCTCTCTCTCTCTCTCTCTCTCTCTCTCTCTCTCTCTCTCTCTCTATCTATCTATCTATCTATCTCTCTCTCTCTCTCTCTCTCTCTCTCTCTTTGTATCTCTCTCTCTCTCTCTACTCTCTGTTTATCTTTGTATCTCTCTGTTTATCTTTCTCTCTCTCTCTTTATCTTTCTCTCTCTACCTATGTGTCTATCTATATTTATTTGCAGTACTGTATGTTCAGTAACCTCATTGCGCAGTTGGTACAAATTAATTTCTATTCTGTCTGTTCTTGTAAATACTGAGGGAAAATTAACAAAAAGTACCCTCGTATACGTTGATTTTTCCTCAGCATTCAATACAATATTCAACCGCATAGATCTACTGTCTTTGAAAAAAAAAAAACTAGCTGGCTCACGCAAAGAATAAGTTATTAGGGTGACCTTATTTAGGCCACATATGGCCTAAATAAGCTAAACCCCCCTCCTTTACCTTATTTAGGCCACACCTTTATACAAAGTCACAGAAATATTCCTTTTGTGCTTATTGGGGTACAGTGCAGGGTGATTTTACCTGCAAGGATAATTGGACAAAATGGGCAACATCTTTATTGCTAATGGTCATATTTAGACAAATCCTATATCATTGTCTTTTTTCTTCTTAACTGCTCATGGTTATTAAAGAGTAAGCCAACTAGGTAGTAATTTCAGGATTCCTAATACTAATATTATGGGCATTCTTAAAATCTTTTAACTTGTTTTTAGCGCTTTTCTCAACGTAAAACGGATTCCGTAAAAAAACAATGACCTTATCTTTCTTTTTCAAAGTATTGTGCATATATTTGTGTGAAACTATATATTCTATGCTTTCATGTACATGAAAAAAAGCTAATAAAGGCAAGCAAAATGTTCTTCAGAGACATAGAAGCTAGATCTAGTAGTAGGCCCACTGAATTTTTTTTATAAACCGGGAAAGATGACCAGAAAATAACAAAATTATTTTATGATCTTCACTTGCACTTGCAATTTTTTTGATAAATTATAGTCTACCTCATTGTCTTTTTTTTTCCATCATATTATCAAGAAAGTGGATAGGCGGACTACGGGGTCTATCTAGCCAAAAGGATAGGTGGACCCCGGGGTCTACCTAACAAAATGCTAGGTTTTAGGATGTGAACCCCGGAGTCAGCGTAGTGAAATAAGTAGATCTCAGTTTATTTTATAGTAGGACTGGCGGAGCCCGTGGTCAATG